TATAAAATAAAATAATAAAAATTAAAAAAAACAATAAAATTATAAATTAAAATTATAAAAAATAAAATAATAATATGGAGTAAATTAATATGAAAAAAACAGTATCAAAGCAACTGTGAAAGTGAGGGCTCACTGCTATGATGTTGATGACAACACGTATATTCAGTGTCACTGCTGTCTTTAGCACACAGGAATAACACCATCACAGACAGATGGACGGACGGAAGGCTCCGATTGAGAGCTCATAGCGGCTGAACGTCTCGGTTACGTATGGTAACCCTCGTTCCCTGAAGGACCAGGGATCCAGTGGGCCATCCTCTGCTTAGAGACGGCATTCCCCTTCTGATCCGACGTGACGTCCAGAGTGACCGACTGAAAGGGAATTGCAGTACCAGGTCTGTGTAGAGGAACCACACAGCGGCGTATGGATGTGAAGCGTGGAGAATGCCAATTACAGCAGCGCTAATGGAGCATCCATCATCCTGGCAGCTCTGTGCAGGTGTGACCAAAGACACGCTCTGCTACACCCACAAAAACAACAACAACACCACCAACGACAGCGACATCTCTCTCCATCCTCCTGCTGATAGATTCACACACTCCAGACAAACCTGACACGCCAAGAAACGCCACGCGTGAATGTGATTCACTTCAGCTGTCAGTCATCACTAGAGTACTGGTGCGTATAGTGACGCAACATTTTCACCTGCTGCACCATAAAACCTACAGACGAACATCTACAGACCAGAAGATCAGAGACGTGAGGACGACCTGGAGCTTTAAGAAACCATAATACCCTCAAAGACATGATGTGAGTCCAACTGATTCATATGATTCTGATGTGATTCAGTCTGATCATATCACGGGGAGTCACATGAGTTTACATTTACATTTAGACATTTAGCAGATGCTTTTATCCAAAGCGACTTACAAATGAGGACAATGGAAGCAATCTAAACCAACAAAAGTGCAATGATATACAAGTGTTATAACAAGTCTCAGTTAGCTTAATGCAGTACACGTAGCAAGTTTTTTTTTTTAAATTA